GTAAGGGATAGAATTTCCTTTTTGACAGGGGGAATCTAAATGTCTACAAAGATACTTTCTTAAAACATTTTGCATCTGTGTTGTACATAGTGGAGACACTTAATACAATCTTATTAGAGATGTTCCAGGAAGGTTTTCCTAAAGAATTGACATTTAAGCTGATACCCAGTAGAAAACAGAGAAGAGCTAGGTGAAGTTGAGCAGGGGAGGGTGAGGAAGCAAAAAATGGAATGAAACTTGTTACAAGGGGAACAACATGCACAAATGACCTAGAAGCAAAAGTGTTGAACTTTCCAGGAATAGAAATTAATTCCATATGGCTGCTATTTAAATTTGTGTGGTGGAGGAAGGTGAGAAATGAAGCTAAAGAAGAACTACGACAGTTAAATCATTGGTTAGGTCTCAAGAGCTGTGGGGATCATTTTTAGAAAAAAGCTCCATCTTAAGGGCAGAGGGAAACTGGCACAGAATTTTTAGCAAAAGAATACTAATAAAGTCAGATTTGTATTTTAGAAAACACTGACTGCATTGTACAAGATGAATTTGAAAAGCAAGCAAGTCCAGAGATTTGCAAAATTAAAAAAAAATTTTCTCAAAATTGTTTTATCCATTCTTTGGCCTTTGCATTTTTATATAAATTTTACGATCAGCTTATCAGTTTCTGTTAAAAATGCCTGCTGAGGTTTTCTAGGGATATGTTGATTCTACAGGTCAGTTTGGTGGAGTTAACATCTCGTCAGTCTTGTGTTCAGATCTGTAAACATTGTATATCTCTTCATATGTCTTCTTTTAATTTCTCTCAGCAGTGTTTTGTAGTTTGCAGTGTACATCTTTGCATTTCATTTGTTAAATTTATTCCTGAGTATTTTATTCCTTTTGATGCTGTTGTGAATGAAATTGCTATATCTACTTCATATTCAAGTTGTTTATTGATAAGTGTTTAGAAATACAATTTTTTGCTTATTGATCTTGTGTCTTGTGACCTTGCAGAACACATTTGTTATATAATTTCTTTCAATTTAAGAGTTTTAGAAAGGATTTTCTATGTGCAGGATCATGTTGTCTGCGATTAAACATGTTTTACTTCTTTCTTTTCAATCAGAATACCTTTAGTTTTTTTTTTCTTGCCTTATTGTACTGTATATCATTTAATAAAAGTATGAGAGTGTACATCCTTGCCTTGTTCCCAGTCTTAGGAGAAACTATGTGGTCTTTTACCATTAAGTCTGTTTTTCTTAAAGAGTTTGTGTAGGATTGATATTGGCATTATTTCCTTAATATTTGATAGAATTAATAAATGAAAAAATGTGGACTTGAACTTTTCTTTCTGGGAAGGTTTTTAAATTTCTTTCTTTCTTTTTTTTTTTTTTTTTGAGACAGAGTCTTGTTCTGTCACCGAGGCTGGAGTGCAGTGACTGGATCTCGGCTCATTGCAACCTCTGCCTCCTAGGTTCAAGCGATTCTCCTGCCTCAGCCTCCTGAGTAATTGGGGCTACAGGCCCGTGCCACCATGCCTGGCTACGTTTTTTTTGTATTTTTAGTAGTGACGGGATTTCACTGTGTTAGCCAGGATGGTCTCGATCTACTGACCTTGTGATCCACCCGACTCAGCCTATCAAAGTGCTAAGATTACAGGTGTGAGCCACTGCGCCAGGCCGGTTTTTAAATTTCTAATTCAGTCTCGTTTATAAAAGTCTATTCAGGTTCTCTTTCTTGAGTTTTTAGAGTTTTTTTGATAATTTATGTTTGCTAGGCATTAATCTGTTTTATCTATTTTATTAGCATTAGGTTGTTCATAATATTCGCTTATATTCCTTTTAATTTAAGTCTGTAGTGTTTGTGGCGATGTCCTCTCTTTTGTTTTTGGTAAGTTATGTTTTCTTTTTTCCTAGATCAGTCTCACTTAAAAATTTATCCTTTTTTTGTCTTTAAAAAAAGAATAGGCCGGGTGCAGTGGCTCACGCCTGTAATCCTAGTACTTTGGGAGGTTGAGACAGATGAATCACTTGACGTCAGAACTTTGAGATCAGCCTGGCCAACATGGTGAAACTCCATCTCTACTAAAAATACAAAAAACTAACCAGGCGTGGTGGCGGGTGCCTCTAATCCCAGCTACTCGGGAGGCTGAGACAGGAGAATAGCTTGAACCTGGGAGGCGGAGGTTGCTGTGAGCCGAGATCGCAACAGAGCAAGACTCCATCTCAAACAAACAGAAACAGAAAAGCAATTTTTCCCCCTATAATTTTCTGTTTTCTATTTCACTGATTTCTACTTTAATCTTTATAATTTCCTTCCTTCTGGCTACTTTGGGTTTATTTATTTATTTATTTTTATTTTTTGAGATGGAACCTCGCTCTGTTGCCCAGGCTGGAGGGCAGTGGCGGGATCTTGGTTCACTGCAGCCTCCACCTCCCGGGTTCAAACAGTTCTCCCTGCCTCAGTCTCCCGAGTAGCTGGGATTACAGATGCCCCGCCCCCACCGCTAATTTTTGTATTTTTTAGTAGAGATGGGGTTTTGCCACGTTGGCCAGGCTGATCTTGAACTACTCACCTCAGGTGATCCACCAGCCTCCGGCTCCCAAAGTACCAGGATTACAGGCGTGAGCCACTGTGTCCAGCCTACTTTGGATTTAATTTGCTCTTGTTCTAATTTTTCAAGCTTAGATTATTGATTTTAGACCTCTTTTCTTTCCTAAGTGTTTGAAATTACAGATTTTTCTCTAAGCACTTTTTGAGCGTCATCACATAAATATTGGTATGTTGTGTTTTTGTTTTTATTCAGTTCACAGTACTTTCTGATTTCCCCTGTGGGATACATTATTTGACTTTATTTATAAGTATGTTTTTAATTTCCAAATATTTGGAATTTGCTAAATTACTTTCTGTTGCTGATTTCTAATTTAATTCCATTGTGGTCAGAAACCATACTTTAAATAATTTCAGTTTTTAAAAATTCAGTAAGACTTGCTTTATGTCCTAGCCCATGGTCTATCCCAGAGAATGTTCCATGTGCAATTAAAAAGAATGTGTTTTCTGTTGTTGGATGGAGCATCCCATAATCCATAAATGGTTAAGTAAAGTTGGTTGATAATGTTGCTGAAGTCTTCTGTATTTTTTCTGATTCTCCATGTAGTTCTTTTTTCAGTTATTAAGAGTCAGCTATTGAAACCACAAAACAAAATTTCTGAATTGTTTTTCTTTTCAGTTCTATTACTGTCGTTAGGTATGTTTAAATTTATAATGTTATATCTTTCTGATGTATTGAAACGTCCCTTTTTGTTTCTAGTAATTTTTTGTATCTTAAAGTCTATTGTCTAATAATAGCCACTCTAGTTCTTATAGTTACTTTTTCATGGTCTTATTTTTTCCCATTCTTTTGCTTTCAACCTATTTATGAATTTGAATCTAAGATGTTTCTTTTGTAGACAATGTATCATTGTGTCTTATTTTTTAATCCAGTCTGACTATCTGCATGTGAATAGGATGTCCCAGTGCCTTGTTTGCCAGGTTGGAGGCTCAGCTCCCCATTGAGCCTCCATGATTTAATTTTAGTAGTAATAGGATAATGAAGTAATGTTTGTTTTTTTAAGCAAGTAAAAACTTGTTGAATCTCAACCTGTTTTAGGTTGCATTAACTGTAAATAAACTTGCTGTGTTCATCAGAATTATGTCCCTCTTGATTAAATCATATTCTATGATTTAAGAAATTCTTAAGTGTCAAAATGAAAAAAAAATGTTTTTAGTGGGCAAAATAGTTATTTCGAACAAGTCCATGTGTTTGTAAGAAATGAACAAAGAATATGATATATATTGTTATTACCAATAGATTTATTTGTAATGAGAGTTTACTTAGGATTTCCTTTTAAATTGAGAGACTTAAACAACTCAGTCCTGCTAAAGGTGAATTCAGTTATGTGATACAGCTCATCTCATGTGTCCTCTGGCAAGTTTAGAAGTATGTACTTTGAAACCTCAACCAAAGGTTACCTGACCAAGGAATTTTGTGCCAATATCATATGGGCCAACGCCCTTTGTTTTTAGACTTCAGATAAGAGGATAGAGTGATATAGAAAGTTAGTGTACTCTCAGGGCTTACTGTATCATTTTCTCCCTTTTCATCACTATGAATAAGTATGGACAAGTTGCTTTAATCTGCTAATGGAAGGAAGGAGCATTCTGTATTCCCAATTAAGGGAGCAAGTACAGGAATGGGAGAAAAAATAGTTTATTTTGATAAGGGTAGAAAATAAAAAAGATGGAGCAATCCTAAATTACTCACAAGGTTTTAGTCTTTATAACTGAAAGAATTATAATGCTATTAATAACAGGAAAGAAATGGGGGATTTGCGGGGTGGGGGGGCAGTTGTGATGTTTTAGTTGATTTTGAATTATTGTTGTATTAATTTAGTTTGTAGTAGTTTCTGTATTTTTAAAGATGCCAAAGCACGTTGCAACTTTTTAAAAACAGCTTTATCAAAATATAATTTATATACCATAACATTTATTAATAGCTTATAATCAGCATATCATAAAAAGTCATTATATGTTAGTGAATTTAGTATATTTACAATGACAAACCATTACCATAATTTTCACTACCATATAATTTTAGAACATCTATATCACCCTGAAAAGAAACCTCATTCCCATTCCTACCTCCAGCCCTAGGCAACCACAAATCTCTTTTTCTGTTCCATATGCTTTTCTAGACATTTCATGTAAATAGATTCCTAAGTGTCAGTATGCATTCACTGAACATAATGTTTTTGAGGCTTTTTTTTTTTTTTTTTTTTTTTTTTTTTTGACAGTGTTGCTCTGTTGCCCAGGTCGGACTGCAGTGGTGTGATTATGACCTCGGCTCACTGCAACCTCCACCTCCTGGGTTCAAGCGATTCTTGTGCCTCAGCCTCCTGAGTATCTGGGATTATGGGCGCCCACCACCACACCCGGCTAATTTTTTGTATTTTTAGTAGCGATGGGGTTTGTATTTTTTTTTTTCCCCAGAGTTTCATCCTTTTATTGAAGCTTACAATTTCACTGGACTTTTGGCCCCAAATGAAAAAAAAAATGCAAATTAAAAAAAGTATTGGCAGGGAGAGGTGCCCACTGTCCCCTGGAGACTGAAGCTGAGCAGAGCATGGCAGGCAAGTGAGGGCTCCCAGCCGTGGAGGCAGAGCCTGGCCAGAGAGGCCCAGGGAGCAGATTTGTCTGAGCAGGGCCAGCCCCAGGCAGTTAGAAGTTAACATACAAGGATTTATGGGTGTGGCGGAATCCAAGCCACTGGTCCCATGGGCAGATCTCTCTCATGCTTGGTCAGATTCCACTTTGGAGAAAATGGGCTCGTGTGACAGGATGGCCTGGTGAGGGAACACAGGTAGTAACGGTAATGGGCCAATGGACACTCACCACTGGCATCAGGGTGGAGCTCAGCTGACTGGACACTAACTCCATTACAAGAACCTGCTCCTGGTGCCAGGCTGTGCCACTCAACTGCTCATGGCCATCAGGACATTCAACTTCCATCCTCTCCTCCATCAGGCCCCTACCTGTGTGGCCTCAGCCCCGGTCCTCACTATTTGGTGGCTATGATGCAGGACTCTCAACCCTCTTTTGGAACAGTGTTGCATCAAGCAAGGGAGAATGTTCTTCTAAAGGGACAGGAAAAGAAGAGATGTCCACATACTTCTCTCACTCTAAGAAGCCAGGAAAGGTCCCTGGTGCACTCCACTCCACAGATGGGTTGGGTCATAGCATCCGAGAAGCTGTCATGGTGACGAAGTCCTCGAAGCTGAGCCGAATGTTGCCTTGTACAGCTGTGTCCTTCTCCGAGAAGGCCTCTGTCAGCACCTGCAGCTGGGTGCATACCTGGATGAAGCGGTCCAGCTGCATGGCAGGACTGGCAGAGCGTGGGCAGTAGCGGGAGACCAGAAGCTGGGTGAACTGGGGGCTCAGGTTGTAGCCCATTTGGGACAGAGCTTGCTGCAGCTCTGTGTCTAACGGAGCCCGAGTGGTCCTGGTCATACTGCTGGAAGAGGTTCTTCCACTGTTGGATGAATTTCCACAGGGCTGAGAAGCCGTAGACATCGATATGGCCTGACTTGGTCTTGTCAAACATGTTTATCATCATGAGGCAGGTCTCATCATTGAATGAGGACCAATTGCAGTTGACCAGGGCTTGCTTTAGCTCCTTCATGGAGATATAGCCACTGTGATCTGAGTCCACCGACTGGAACCAGGAGTAGGCCTCAGGATCCACATTGGGAGGGGCGCCACCCTGTCCATAAGGCCCAGGCTGCTGGGCACCATAGGAACTTGGAGGTGGCTGACCATAGGGGCCCCCTGGAGCTGCACCACCATATGGTCCTCCTGGAGTTCCAGAGGGGAACATCCCAGGAGTGGGGTATCCATAAGGCCCTCCACCAGCTGGTGGTCCATAAGGCCCTCCAGGGGCAGGACCCTCATAACCACCAGGGGGTAGCCCACTGCCATACTGCCCTCCACTATTGGGGAGTCCAGGGTAGTAGCTACCCGGAGGGACTCCTGGTGCTTGTCCTGCAGCTCCTGGGCAGCCCTGCCGGTTCGGATAGCTGGCCATGGCGATTCTGACGTCACACGCAGGCAAGGGGTCGGGGTTTGTATTTTTAGTAGAGATGTTGGCCAGGCTGGTCTTGAACTCCTGACCTCAGGTGATCCACCCGCCTTGACCTCCCAAAGTGCTGGGATTACAGGCATGAGCCACTGCACCCAGCCCTGCTTTGCACTTTTTAAAAAGGAATTTTATAGCCAGCAGTAGGGGGACTATGTACTTAGTACATGTGAGCCATGTGGGTAAATTATGTAAAACCAGTCAGTGTAGGAAAAATATATATATTGAAAGAGTAGTGATAATGTCATAAAATTGTTTTATTATTGTTTATTATTCATCTATAGAGGTTTACCTTGCTAAACATTCGCTGACATAGGATATCAGTATGTAATATTTACAACAATTTGTAAAGTGGAGTTGCTGAGGTAGAGATTTTTGTTAAGGAATCTTTGCAGTATTTAAATTGGAAATAGAATGAACCCCATTGATTTCATTTTGAATTGATAGTTATTCCATAAATTGAGATTTTATTTCACTATTTTTGTCAAATGAATTTGGATTGTAGACTAAAGAAATGGTCATCTACCCCCATTAGTTAGTCTTGATGATCTTGATCAAAACTAAATAATGCATGTGAGTGACAGACCTAAGTTACAGATGGAGAAAAGAGACAAGTGATGGAAAAGGTACTGTTGCCACTAAAAGTAGTTTGTCTATTGTAGTTCTGTAGATATGCATTTATTTAAATATTTACAGTGAAACAACACTTCATATTATTACACTAACTTGATTAATGTAAATGTGAAATTATCCTTATTGAAATCTTTCACTAGATGTACAGTATCAAAGCCTAATTTTGCTTCATAAATTCCACTTAACGTGTCTTAATTTGAAAATCACCCTGGTTAGAAATCAATAACTATTTGCATTTTTCATAAGGGGTCACACTTGAAATAAATTAATTATAACTGACATAATCTGGATTAATCTGAGAAACATGATGTAGAAAATTTACGTACACGCCTCCGTATTTTCTGCTCAACTTTTCCCTTCTGTATACCTTCGCCATTAGCTTATAAAATACTGTCTCTTGGTTCTTTTCTGAAACTGAAGCAATTTAGTAATTGATTCACATTTAGTTATTTAGGGTTTAAAGTATTGCTTTTGTCCAACACATTGTCATTTGAAAAGAGGACTACACATTGGATACTGCTTAACTAAAAGGAATGAATCACTAATGGTAGATGTTTGTGTATGTGGTGGGAAGGGAAATAGGTGCAGAGCAAGGAATTTAGCTCCTCCTGCTTCCTAGCTAGATTTAATAATATGGATATATTAAGGAGTTAGTCAAGTACTGTTGAAAATAGAATAAACTGCTGGAAAGACAGGTGTTTTCTCATAGTCTTAATAAAGCACCTACTTTAGGAATACCTCATTTGGGTTCACTTAGTATTTGAAATTTGGATTTATATTGATTGTTTTACTATAATTTCCTGTGCAGTAAGTAAATGTGGGTGATTTAAAATATACTCCATGATTTTTACTCCCTTCTCCCCTATTTAAATTGATCCAAAAGGATCCCTGTTTTATATAACCTTGTGCTTAATAAGGAATTTTCTGTTTTTTGTTGTCTTCTTCTAGGCTGTATTCATCACCAAAGAAAAAACTTACACCAATGCAGAAATCGGTTAGTCCATTAGTTTGGTGCAGGCAAGTTTTGGATTACCCAAGTCCTGATGTTGAGTGTGCTAAAAAATCTCTTATCCACAAACTTGATCAAACTATGTCAGGTATGTCTATAATTTTATTTGTAAATTCATCTCTTTGCTTTCTTTAGTCAAAAACCATACATGTTGAGCAGTGTGTTTTTAGGAAGCAATTCTTTGCTTGGAGCATTTTTCAAATTTCATTGTTCATACGGTCATGAGAGTTTTTCCCATGTTCATATAACCCTGGCCTATCATTTACTTAATAGCTTTTAAAAAAATCTTGTTTTTATTTAGCCTCATCCTAAAGAATAATATCCATGAAATAATGAATTTCGTATGATAAGCTTTTTTTTAAAATACAAGTTACGTAACTATTAAAATATAAAATATCTGGTGTTGTATAAAATCATCTCACATTCCACTCTTTGGGGAAACTGGTGTGGTAGAAAGATACAAGCGGAGAACTACAGAGACCTTGTTCTCACTCTAGCCCTTAATTGCTCTGTCACTGCATTATTTGATTCTGTGAGCTCGGTTGTCTCATAAGAATGATGAGCCTTGAAAGGTAATTTTAAGGGTTAAGTGTTATGTGAAAGAGCCTAGCGTGTTTTCTGGCTAACAGTAAGTGCTAAGTAAATGTATTCATTTCCCTTGTTATGTAAAACTAGTTGGCATTTTAGGTTTAAACTGCTTTTATGCTCTTTTGTTTAATAGCATTCACAAAGCTGACAAAATGTGTCTGGGGCTATTTATGACATTTAATGTAGCATGCCAGTGTGGGCAGAAATGTAGGAAAAATATTGTTTATTTCTTCTTGTATTTCTCTGAGTCTGTTTTATGACTCTTACTGTTTTATGAAATACTCAGATAGTAAAAGATGGATGCATGATTAGTTTTGTTTTTGTTTTTCTGCTTTATATTTACTTGGCAGCCATGTACTTAAAATTACTTATTTTGGCATTATTATAGAAAACAATATGTGCCTTGTGGTTAGACTTTAAGCTGAAAATGGTCACAAGAAGCAGAGGGGACAGTTAAAGTGGCATACATAAAATGAAGTTTATTTGGCTATAAGGGGTAGTGGTTATTACATGCAAATAACTTATGGGATGTTATTACAGAGGTTCTGAATCTGGGTCAGTTTTGACACTAAAGTATTACTTTTCCTCTATGAAAATAAGCTGTTTTGTTTTTGTTTTTGTTTTTGTTTGTTTTTTTTTTTGATATGGAGTTTCGCTCTGTTGCCCAGGCTGGAGTGCAGTAGTGCGATCTTGGTTCATCACAGCCTCAGCCTCCTGAGTAGCTGGGACTAAGGTGCCCACCACCACTCCTGGCTAATTTTTGTATTTTTTGTAGAGATGAGATTTTGCCGTGTTAGCCAGGCTGGTCTCCAACTCCCGACCTCAGGTGATCTACCCGCCTCGGCCTCCCAGTCTGCTGGGATTACAGGTGTGAGCCACCGTGCCTGGCCAAAGAAGCACTTTTGAAAAAACAATAGCCTTTATGTGATTTTTTTTAAATGTTTAGTATGACTGTCAGCTTGCTTGTTTGAATTGTACCCTGGAGCTTGATTTAAGTTATATTCATAAGAGATTATTTGAAATAATGTAGACAAGCTAGTAGACCATTTTAAATAACTTAACATTTTCTGACCAAATTCTGGCATTAATGTACTACTTAATGCCACAGAACATTAAGTATGGAAATTTTCTGACTATGTATTGAGAATATTCCTACAGAAGGAGCATGACTGAAAGAAAAAAGAGTATTTCTAGAGGGCTAGGTGCGGTGGCTCACACCCGTAATGCCAGCACTTTGGGAGGATCACTTGAGCCCAGGAGTTCAGAACCAGCCTAGGCAACATAGTGAGACCCCACCTCTACAAAAAATAAAGAAAAAAAAATAGCCAGGCGTGGTGTGCGCCTGTGGTCCCAGCTACTTGGGAGACTGGGGCAGGAGGATCCCTTGAGTCCAGGAAGTTCTTGCAGTGAGCCGTGTTTGCACCACTGCACTACAGCTTGGGTGACAGAGCAAGACCCTGTTGCCAAAAAAAAAAAAAAAATTTTTTTTTATATATCCTAGAAACTGTTTTCAATACCCCAACTTAGAAATAATATAATTTACAATTTAATTAGGAATTTTCATCATTCAACAGTATGTATTGAGAATCTGCTATAATAGGCATTGTTCTCAACACTGAAATTATGGCAGTGAATATAATAGACCAAAAATGACTTACTTCTTGGAGCTTATATTCTTATAAGAGGAGTCAGACAGTAAACAAATAAATAAAGCTCTGGCAAACTTTTTCTGCAAAAAGCCGGATAATAAACAATTTTAGTCTTTGTTGCCTGTAAGATCTCTGTTGCAGTTACTCAGCTTTGCTCTTGTAGCATGCAAGCAGCCATAGACTATACATAAATGAGTGAGCATGGCTGTGTTCCAGTAAAACTACTTACAGAAACAGGTGGTGGACTGGATTTGGCCTGAAGGCTATTTTACCAACCCCTGGTTTAAAACGTCCTAAGGAGTACGAATTATTAGCAATTGGTGACTAGCAATTTGGACTTGAGGGATAAAAGCAAAGCTGCTGCACCTCAGAAATGGCAATTTTGAGTGAGTGGCTTTTTGCTTTATTGTAAGGAGGATATTAGGAGTGTGTAAGAGAGGCAGTTACTCTTGAACCATAACTAGATGTAATTAAGTACTGCATCTGTTTAACATGGTTTAAATTTTATAGCTGTATTCATAGAACAATAGCTATAGCTATAAATACAATGTCTATTTGAAATATATATGTTTAAAATTTTTTAAGGAAAAGAATTTGGCTTTTACAAGTTTGAACTTCGTAGTTTAAGTCCCCCATTTCCCAAGGAGATTTTTTTTTTTTTTTTTTTTTTAAATGCACTGTTTTGGTAAGGCAGAACTTCCTAGGAACTTAAATATTGCAGCAGAACAGTTTCTACTCCTTCACACTCAGGTTCTCTGCAGTGCACTATCACTCGTTCCTAAAATTTTCTTCACTTGTTTCTTTTGATAGTGTATTGTCTTTTTAACCCTCATTTACCCTCCCTGCTCTTTTCTTTTCAGTCTTCATTGAAGGTTCTTCCTTTTCCGCCCATCTTTTAAAAATTGTCATAAAATTATATAATACAAAATTATCCATTTTCACCATTTAAAATGTACAGTTCTGTGGCATTAAGTACATTCACGTTACTGTGCAACTGTCACTATCATATACAGATGAACAGAACTTTTAATCATCCTATACTACTTTTTCATCATCCCATACTGAAATTCTTTACCCAGGTTAAC